TCACTCCTACGAATAATTGTACACTAATAAAACGTTTTATTCAATTCACACATTGAATTTATTGATTTACTGTATCGAATCTATATTATTACTTATCTGTTTTATTACTAATTGTGAGCACTTTTCTCAATTCGGTCCTGGATTTAACATGGTGGATACTCACGTGATCCGGAAAAGGAGATCAAAGGTGCCGACACGAAGTGGACCTACTGGTTATACTGTGGTGATCACTTTTCTACATTAATGCTCATAATCCATGCACGATTAACGAAACGAAATCGTGCATGGACTATAAGCATTAATGTAGAAAAGTGATCACTTCAGAGTTTGTGAAAATTTCCGAGGGACAGAATCGATGACCGTGGGTGTACAAATAAGTTTTGTATAAAAGAAAAAATAATTTTTTAACAAAAATATTATTGCATATTTGTATAATCTCGGCTCTTATTAAGAGGGTCCTCGTAGCACCTCTATCACTTGTCATATCATCGTATGCCTGAGCGTGCGAAATATCAGCTCTGTGATTAGCCAACTTTAATCGCTATTAAATTAAAAACTATTATAGTCTCGATATTTTCGTATTAGGATTTTCGTCTGAGAATATTCTAAAGAATCCGCACTTAAAAGAAAATCCGCGTGTTTTGGGACACCCTGTATATGTATAATATGAACATTTAATTAATTATATTAATACTTATATTAATACTTTTTTACATGTTCCGATATTAATTGATTATTTAATGTACATTATTATATTGAACATCAAATTTTGTATTAAACTCAATGAAAATGTTATTCTGAAAAATTACGAAAAGCTTATATAAAAACCACGCTTTATTCAATACATAAACTTGTCTTTCCGTAAACATCTTGCATCAATGGAAAATTTATGTACAAAGTAAATTTTGGTCACGAATTAAGCTCGATTTTTATAAGTCTTTCTTAACTTATTCATATGTTTATTTTATATCCTTTTTATTATATTTGACATAATGGCGTAACGTTATTCAATATTCTTCAATATTCTGTTTTATTTTCGTGACGTATGTGCTTCCAAAACATATTGTTACTAATTTTGTATTACTTTTCATACAACTAACGATAATACAATCATGCATAACCTTAATGTGTTTCGAATAAACCAAGATTTAAAATAATTATTCGTTTTTGTATCCAACCAAGCATGCTTTCAACATAGAAATTATTTTTATAATTTAATAATATAATTAATTTGGTTGTATTAATGGAAAATGTAAAGTGATGCAACTTGTAACAACCGGCATAAAAAAAATTGTGCATAACATAACTTTATTTATAATTTTTAAATGAAATGTACACATTAATGTAACATTAATGATGCAAACATAAACGTTTATCAGTCTTTCTCTTACATAAATCACAAAATGTGGAAAAAAATATAAATATAAGATTGCACTAAGGAAAGACTACAGAAATTTAACATTATTTTAAATTTGTTTCTGTTGATAACAAAAATAAGCACTGTAACAACATAACAACCCGTCTCAATCAGCCTCGACTTATCATATTTACATTTTAACTGTTGCTTAAGCAAAAAATATATTTTAAGACATTAATATAACTGTATTACTTATAAAGTAAAGATTCTAAAAAAAATGAAATTGTAATATAATAAGCAAATTTATAAACATTTATTTTACTTTTGGCTATCAAGAACTGAAATTATTTTTTATTTCTGAAAATATGCTATTCAATCCAAAATATCTTATTGCAGCATGACTGCAATATTTTTGAGAATATACTATATTTTTTTATATAATATTACCGTTTGCCATTTTGCAGCACTTTTAAATGTATCTACGTGTCCCATGCATCAACCAGCCCCGGTCTCCCCTACACACACACACACACACACACACACACACACACACACACACACACACACACACACACATACACACACACAGGTTTGAAAGTAATGTTTAGTCCGCTTTATTTATATACAAGCGGTTTGTAAATAATTACTGGACACCTTTTACATATCTATAGAAAATATGTTTTAAATATAATCGTAAATTTTGTATACATTTTTATACTCGTAATTTTTTATAATTTTTCATTGAAATATGAATTAAAAAGATAATACATCATCTTTATGTTATTGCAGGTCAGAAAATTGCTCGGATAAAAAGTTGCTGCAATTACTGGATGATGTAGATCTGCGTAGTATCGTGGAAAGAGAACCGGAAGGTTTTGATGCTCTTGGCGATTGGGACTCTACTTTATCAGGTGGCGAGAAACAACGACTCGCAATGACTCGACTTTTATATCACGCTCCACAATATGCTTTATTAGACGAATGTACAAGTGCTGTTAGCCTCGAAGCTGAAGGAATAATGTACGAAACCGCAAAGAAGAAAGGAATTACTCTGTTGACCATCACTCATCGAGTGGCATCACTCGCTAAATATCACAAATTATTATTGAAATTCGATGGTGAAGGTGGCTGGACCTTTGGTCCACTGAATATAGACGGATTACCAATATTACCGAATCAGGGTACTAATGAACAAACAGAACGAGAGAAAGCAAAGACTAGCCACTATCATATGTTACATGTATGTTAAATATTTTATCCTGAATAACTTTAAAAATTTATATTCTAGGAATTTTTTAATTTTTATTTTATATTTATGAAAAGAAGTATCGAATTTTATTACAGTTTTTAGTCTCAAATTTTTTCAATTCAATTTAATTTTATGATATGTAATTCCTAATACAGTAGTAATATGATATAATAATAGATAATAACGTAATATGAATATGTATATAGGACGTTTCGCGTTAAGCGGGCCACCTCTTCAAAATTTAACACAATGGGAAAAAATGTTTGAGATTTCAAAATATTTTTATACTTATGTAGTTTCGAATAGAACGTGACCTTTTGAAAAATTCAATATAGCGGCTCAAATATAGCGTCTAAAAACCACAAAATTCACAGATAATCTTACAGTATCTTCGATTAAAATATGAAAAATTCAGAAATTGGCTTAAAAATGATTATTATGAAGTTTTCAAGGTCTTTTGTTACGAATCTAGAAACAGAATTACAAAATTAAAAATGACAGATCAAAAATGATCGAATCTGGAGTCAGTACACAAAACGTATCATAATTATCATTATGTCGAGTCTAATATTCTACGATGACCATGGTTCAACGGCAGAGAAGATATTTGTAATTTTTTTTTAATAATGGCAAAGAAAGCATATCTACTTCAGTTGCGAAGCTGCAGAAAATCATTTTGCAAGAAATTTCTAAAATTCATGTTTCTCTTTTCTTGTTGAAAGAATTGCAAATAATGAACTACTTTAATATCGTTGAACCAATTGGTAGACCATTGTAGAGTATTAGACTCGACATAACGACAATTACTACAATTGGTTCAACGGCATAAGAGTAGCACATTATTTGCAATTTCCAACAAGAAAAGCAAAGAGAAACATATAAAAATTCAAAAATTCTTGCAAAATGATTTTCTGCAGCTCCGTAACTACACTCGACAGTAAAATTAAAGCATCACCCATTCTGATCATTAAAAATAGGCAAATTTCAAGAGAGTGTAACTTCGTCAAAAATGATCCTATCGGAATGATCAAAAAAGCATTTCAAAGCTTAAAGTCTCTACTTTCGACATCCATAATTCATTAAATTACTTACTGATTATTTACAAAGCTGCACGGATGCAAATGGAGATGCATCAAATCTAAAAATTTTTTACCAAGTTTGCGAAGTTCCAAAAAGTTAAATAAAAATTGAA